AATTAATTAATTAATAACAAATTTTACATTGAGAGAATTCAGCTGTCTTGGCGGAGGTCTGTGCTCTCCGAGTGCTCTCATTTACATTGTGATACTTGTTTTGCTATGCCTTGAATCTAATAATTGCACTACTATATCAGCACTAACTATTGAAATATACAAATTTGTAGTTTTAACCGGTCATACAATGATCATACAATGGTACATTCTTATAAGACGATACAAACTTTTCTTATGCCTAATTTCAACCGAATTTTTTTAGCGAAAATCATACTCCTCTGCCTCTAATGTTTCTACCTTTTCCATCAGACATTTCTTAACACTACACTTAAAACAAGAATAAACAGAATTTGTCCTAACTTGCTGTGGTAGAGAGTTCCAAGCTTCAATTGCAGTATAAGTAAAAAAGTTTTTCCCACTGTTTCCCACCCTCGGTTTAAAAATAGACATCTTACCTTCCCTTGTATTGAAACTATGGACTTCTGAACTGTGGTGAGGTAGCTTTAAAATTTAAAAAATTAAGGGTACTAGGAAATAATTAGAAAGTTTGCCCTGTAAGCAAGAAGAAGTCTTAAACGTATTTAATAACATAAACGCAGATAAGGCTACAGGGTTAGATAGCATACCAGGTTAATTTATAAAACATTGGTGTCGCATTTTGTTTATTTATTGTGTTATCCATATAATCTATGATTTCTTAATTATCAAAATATAGAAATGAAAAGAAATAAAGAAATGAAATGATAAATGTTGTGTGACCGATGGAAAGTTATCTTTCGTGCTTTTCACTCCTTACATCTAATAAGGTTACAGTTGTATGCAGTAAAATACAGTCGCACGACCAATTGAGACACTAGAACTGCTGATCGTAGCACGAGAATTCTACGATATACATCAGGAGTAGATAATAGGATATAGTATCCTATTATCTACTCCTGATATACATTTAGCTACACATATATACAAGGAAATCTATGACAAAGGTTATAGGTAAGCATCGTACTACTGCAATGACGTCAATGAAACACTACTGCATGCTACACCAGAATTACTATGTTGTTTGGACACTGTAGCAGGCATGAAGCAGGTCAAAATAAAACACACATGAGAGACATGCTTTAACTCGCAGATAAAGGAACTTATTAGGCCTTATACTTCCGTAACTTATTAGGTTATTAATCCTCCAAACTTCAAATGTGCTGTTTTCGTGATTTTATTGAGTTTTTGCTCACCTGACTACAATGGCTAACATGAGATGTGCACCTACATATATTACTTTGAAAGGGCAAGTGAAAAAACATGTTCTAACTTATGGAAAAGGTGAAGAGGATGGAACACAGTGACTTCATATTTCAGTAATCTGGTATAAATGAATAGATGAAATTACAGGGCCGTAGTGGTCGCCACGGCAGCACGGCACTGCCGTGGCACTATTTTTGAAAAAATTTTTTTTGCAGGGAACCAAGGAGCAACATATACCAAGGAGATGACCCCCCGGGGGAGGGGGCACTCACCCCACATTATGGTAGGTATGTGCCACTGCGAAGTCAAAAATGGGGGGGGGTTCTAGAACTAACTCAGACCTGAAAATGGGGGTTTCTGGAACTAATGTTTGTTGCATGTGGTATGCTCTGGAACTGGCTATGTTCGTAAATGGGGTCTCCGGAACTAGGATTTCGTTGAAATCCAATGCTATGACACTGGACACGTTTAAAAGAGGGGGTCTCCGGAACTGTGGGGGGAACAGTGATTTGCTTTAAAATCTATGCTGTAGCACTTGAACCAATAATTGTTGTATTATGTAGAGGAGAAAAAACATGACCCGGAGAGAGATGAACGCACGCACAGCACACGCACGCACACGCACACGCACACGCACACACACACACACACACACCACACACATCACACACACACACACACACACACCCCCACACCACACACACACCACTAACGTACCGCTAAATATTTCACTTATTTTATATACGCCGTCATTCTTCGTTAATGTATCGTCAGTTTTGATTAGCCTGTGATCAAGAAATAACCTGCGCACCGAACCCGAACAACCTTTCTAGTAAACTGTTATCTTTGCATCATGCTCGAACGACAGCGAAAAGTATTTTGAAATCCAAACATTATTTCTACGCTTGCTAAATGCAAATTTCATGTGCGACGACGGCGGCGGAAAACACGAACATGTTCTGCTTCATCTATGACAAATCACGACATACGGCATATACCTGCTCATCTTCATGACCCTTTTTGGCTAGGACACTTCTTTCCTTATGACAAATATTGGCGAGTCAACTCGTTCCGCCTTTACAGCTGAAATTCACTGCTTGCGATTCATAACTAGCCGCTTTTCAAACTCTATTGATGCGGCACAACACACACAAAAACATAATTAATTGTCATAGAAGATCTTCCTATTGTACAAATAGTGTCTATAGCTGAGAGCGTACATTCGTATGTCGTTATTTCTGTCATAGAGCAGCAGACAGGCTGATATAACTAGCGTAATAATATAGATATATAATAATAATAAATATAATAAATATAACTATAAGCTGTAATATATTAATAATCAATTTTCTTCGGTCGTTCTTTATTTACGTTCGAAAGGGGAGCAGGTGGCGCGACAGGCACCACGTGTGCATGGTTATTATTGCCTCGATCTAAAATATTCTTCTTTGCTCCGCAGCATCACGCCCTATGACTCGCGACACACCACACACACTACACACACACACCACACACACCACACACACACACACACACACACACACACACACAAACACACACACACACACACACGACGACACACGCACGCACGCACGCACACACACACACACGCACGGCCACGCACGCACGCACGCCACGCACGCACACACACACACACATAGCGCACATTACCTGGTATGGATAGAATAATGACACACACACACAGCACACCTACACACACACACACACACACACCACACACCACGCACACGCACGCACGCTACGCACGCACACAACACACACACACACACACACACACACACCACACACACGCACACGCACCGCACGCACACACACACACACACAGTGGCGTAGACAGGTCCCTCAGTTGGTGGGGGGATCGATTTCGCATGTTATTCTCCATCATAATGTATATGAAGAGTGCTGCGCGAGTAGCCGCACCGCGACGCGCCTTGCGCGCAAGCCTTAATGGGTGGGGTCCAGGGGCCCGCCGCTAGAGGGCCCTGGGGGTGAGGCGGCAGAGCCTGCCGACCGGGGTGCCAGGGGGCGGTAGCCCCGAAAGTTCTTCGCTTTTAGCCAATTTAGAAACCTTAAGATGTCGTTTTTGAGGTAATTTGAAAAAATTGCAATTTGTAAGTGCAATTTTGTGAATGTTCGAAGGTAATTTTTTTCTTTGGATCCAGAGGTTTAATAACACGCACCCCCCCCCCACACCCACACACACAACATGCGCGATCAGAAGTGAATTCTACGAGGAAGGGAGCGAATCATGCGAGCTCAAAGGGACACGAAGCCGGCGCACTGTGTGAATTGTTAAAATGTGGCATCTAAAAGCAATCAATTTTGGACATCTTATCATAGAATATCAGGATTTATTCCGCCTTTAGGGGTGTGTCCCCTCCTGTTTATAAGGGGGGGGGGTCCCAGGGACCTCCCCAGGAAATTTTGTTGTAAAGTAACACCCTCTTACGATGCAATTTCCCTGGCACTTTGATGCGCACTATAAACAATCTTCATCACAATACACATGAGTTTGAGTTGAGTATTTTTACCTTGCGGGACACCAAAGACTAAAATCGCTACTACCAATCTGTGCTAATATATGTACATGTTCTCACTGGAGTTGCCAGTGCCAGACTTACCTATGGCTAAAATACCTTTACCTCTGAAAATTCTAGGGGGGGGGCGACCGCCCCTTCGATGCTAGCCGACCCCCCCGTTGAAGAACTACAGCACTGGAATGCATCTCCCCTGAAACATTTTTAATAAAACGGTATATTTTTACTGAGAGTGAAAACCTTAAGTGAGAGAGGCTGTTCCACTGAAAGATATGAGAAAAACAAACCACATAGTGCATATTGTCACCCCATTATACAAAATCGGGAAGTATACTTCCTGTCGGCGTCTCAGCACCCCTCCCCCCTCCAAGAAAAGGAGATAAAATTGAATTTTACCATTTCAACCCCTCTGAAAATTAAATATCCCAACTCTTCATAGGATCTACTTCAATTTTGAATAGAAGCAAAGACTTAACTTTCGTGAGCAGTGATCAAAGACGTGATTTGGGGGATTTTATGAAAAAAAATCGTACTATGGGCAATCGCTTCAAATAAACCGTCTGAGTTCATAAATAATCGTCATCTTGAACGACATTACAGCATTTTACGTAATGTAGTGTCAACGTTCCATTTCTGTAATAATACATTAGGAGAGTATGAAT